TAAATAATTAAAACTAAACACACAATATAAGAAAGAAATGCACTATTATTTGATCCAAAGTCAATGCTCAAACTAAACTAAAACTAAAACATCCACAACTTGTCATAAAGATTTTGCATATCTTTTGCAAAACATTAAATTTTCAAAGCCTATTATTTTTCTTAATTATTTTTAAAATTCCAAGCATTAATAGTTTCTTAGAATTACTTTGGAATAAAAGAAGTAAATACTGTGGTATAAGTAGCATATTTGCATTTATTTCTTCTGTACTAACAAAGTTGTATGTAGGAAAAAATAAGAAATAAATAGATAAAGTTTTTGTATTTAGTTTTTTTTTTCTTATTTCATTTTTCAATACGATATTTGGTTATACTGTGGGGGTACAAAATATCGTGTGAATGAATCAACACGATAAAATATAAGTGCTCAACCAGGGAAATAATTTATAACAAGCGTGCTTGGTGGAAACAACGCTTATTAAGGGGAATCCACTGGACTCAATAGGGACTAGACAAGACAACCATTGAATACTATAACAATATTTCTTTAATATACTTGGGAGGATACAGTACTCCCAAGATAGAGATGCGACACAAGAATACAGAGTCCAACAAATCTAGTATATCGCGAATTGATAACAAAAATCTCCCGACAATAAATTGCTCAAGCTGACGTAACAAGAATAAATGGAAACATACCGACATAAATGAGGCTTCGACGATCTTTTCTTCTCTTCCACTCCGGGTAGGGAAAAGTTCCAAAGTTCTAAAAATCTCTACGGACTTGCTTGCACAGGCTCTATATCTTCATTCCCCACTTCACTCCACTGTCCTTACTCCTCTCCCGTTTTTTCCACTCTCCCTTCCCATCACCCCTCTCCCTGAGACACACCCCGTCCATAAAACACTCACCCCTCAGTCACACACCCCTGAATTACATAACTCCTCTCCACCGAGTTAGACCCACCACGTGGCGAAAGGGGGGGGCAAGAACAGACGTAAGGCACAATACATCAATTTTCTTTTTATTATATTCTGAAGAAAATTCTGCATAATTTGGTGGCCCCAGGCAAACTTCTTATGTACTTCGGGACCGCGGTTAAGAATCACTGGATTAAACAATTAAAAATTAGGTTAAAGCAGATCAAAAGTTTTAAAATATTTTGTTATCAAGAAATATGTAACAGAACTAACAGTTCATATTCATTTTGTATGTCCTAGGTTATTCAAGAAATGTTTTAAAAAGTTGTAGTCGTTTCACTTTTACTATTTGTCTGTAAATTTTGAATTTACAAGTTTTAAATTGTAATGTTTTCAAAATAATACTTTAAGATAAATTTTGAGAAAATAAATAGTTAAATTATCTTAAAAGTATTCTGTGTTAACTTGTTTTGATGTATTTATTTAAATGAGCAACTTTTGATAAATTTAATTTTTGTAATTTTTATAATAATGAAGTATTACAATAAAATTACAGAAATTAAGCTTTTAGTGATACAAATAAAGTAGATACAAGAGAATGCCAGTTTGATAGTCTTGGTTGTTAATTGCTGATCTAGTTTTATTTCAGTCAGATTAGTTTTTTAATTTTTAAATTAATTTCCAATTTTTTATTAATCATATTTTAAAAATTGTGATAGTGTTAGTTATATTCATATATCAACATCGCAAGAACCCAATGTATTTAAATTATAGTTTTACTTTAGTCAAGAGATGGCACCTAATGTCTACCTCTAGTTGTTCTTATCAGTTAATTTCTACTGATAATTGTAGGAGTTCTGAACTGATTATTTTGGCTGTTGGTTGGTTGTTTGTTAGTTATATTCATATATGTATCTCTATCTTTGATTGACACTTTAAAACTCAAAAGTTAAAGCACACATATCTTATATGTTAGTTTAACACCATAAAAAGAGTTAATAATGCAATTGTTCTTAATTGTTATTAAAAAAAGAAAATTATTTATTTAAAAAGTACTTTCAACAGTCTAAANATAACAGTTTAAGTCGTTGCAATAAATAAGATTGTATAACGTTAATCATATAATTTACGTGTAAATTTATTATTGTATTATTTTCTTTAATGATTAAGAATGTACTGTTTGTTTTAGGTTCAACAGTTTATTTACATGTGCTGTTACTTAAGCTTTCTCCTATTTTGACATATTAAAAAGTCACATTTTTGTCTTAACGTAATTTTTATTCAACATTCACCATCAGTGCATGCTGAATGTCGACATTTGCCGGTGTAAGTGAGAAATGATGATACTTAGCAAATATTTCGTACATACACGAAACAACCGTGTGAATGCTGACATTCACCGGAGAATGTTGACATTCGCCAGATATCGGTCATTCACAGTAACATATACATACAAACATAAACATCTAAATGCCAACAGTTATATGTTAAAACCAAAACAATTACCAAATTATATTATACTTTTGTCCACTTTGGACATTTTTCTTATACTGAAGGAAGAGAAACACATAATTTCCAATGAAAATATATTTAATGTAATGTAATCTTGTATGCCACTACAATGAGAATTTTGGTCCAATGTCCCTCCTCAGCAGATGTTACCTTTTTATGTTTATATTTTAATATACCCATATATTTCTTTCAACATTTTCAAAATAAACTTTTAAACTGCTATTTCTTCCAATAAAAATTTTCTTAAATATTTTCCTGTTTATTACAGCATAATTTCATTTGCTTAAACATCACTTATTTGTTAAATGAATTACCAATGTACCATACCACAAAATAATTATTCAGCTCACATCATCTCACTCTACAACTGTAACTCCTTGAATGTTCTAGCATATATCAAAATTACCAAATTATGTCATTTGGCTTTAATATATAACTATCAAAGTTTAAATTTTTATGCTTGTGTAAAGTAACATCCTTAATATACTTCTGTGCACTGATAACGTCCCACCCTTCCTCCTTGGAATGTATGTGTGATTACATCTCCCAATCTCTGGCACATCTTGCTGAGGGGGATGCCTGCATTCCCTTCACACAAGTGCCAAAATATCAGCTTGCCTATTCCCAGAAACTAGCTAGAGTTGCTGTTGAATGGACACACAAATAATAGTGTTTCTACTATACTAAGTAGGCATACTTTTTGCATTTCAGTTATTCAGTCATTCAACTGTCTGAAATACATAAATGTAGACATTTTAGTCTTTTATATAATTTACCATCGTTTTAGCCTAAAATAAAAGGTTGAAGCTCAGTATGTTTAGTCAAATTCCCAACAGATTGCCACATGGCAGCAAATTTTGCTCCTTTGGAAGAAGTCAAGTAGAGGTCTCTGATCTTTTAAATAAAATCAGAGGAAATACTCTACAAACATATACAAGTACTCTACTAATTTGAGCAACAAGGTGTCTGCCAAAAGTCAGATATATAATAAAGTACAAATTACAGACCAATAGTCCTATTATCCAGTTTCAGAAAACTATTCACTGCCGTACTAGCATAGAAATTCAAACAATGAATTGAAGCGAACAATTACAAGAATCCCACACAATATGCATATATAGATAACAAAGGCACTCAAAAATCCCTGTTTATTTTGCTGACAATAATTCAAATACAGTTATTAAAGAAGAGAAAGAAAGTTTATGCACTTTTCCTGGATTTATCTAAAGCATATGATTCAGTCAGTATAAAGTTGCTACAAAACAAATTAAATAAACACAATGCAAGCTATTACTTTGTTAAGATGATTGGTCAATTATATGGTAGCTATAATGTGATTATTAAAGAAAACAACATATGCTGGAATCATTTTACAACTAGCAGAGGACTATTACAAGGAGATCCCTTATCTCCTTTTCTGTTCAATTTCTATTTATTTGATTTAAACAATTGTTTTTTGAAGGAAGATGATGGAATATTTATTGACAATGTATTGAGTATGTATCCACTCAAATTTTCATATGCAGATGACATAATAATACTTGCACCTACTCCGACAGCCTTAAAAAGGAAAATCATATAGATAACTGAATACCTGGATAATCTAAAAGTTAAAACAAATTCTAATAAATCAGGAATTATGATTTTCAGAAACAGAAATAATCTTTCAAAAACCCTATACCTACGACTCTTTGCGACCTCTCAACCTTCTTAACATTTCCAGCTCCATTGGCAACCTTACAAAATTTGTAAAAACAGTTTTTACAAGAATATTTCTAAGCCGTTCTCACACAAGGGAAAATAGGTTAGGAATCATTCGGTTTAAGTTTATGGAACCAAGGGGGCAGTGGCTTAAAAAATTTTGGGAATCACTGATCTAAACAATGATCTAAGAATAGATTTATGTATACATAAAATGAATACATTTGCTATTTTTCTTAACCGTATAAACTATAAATTAATTATACTATAATACACATAAATAAAACATTTTATAGTTTAAACCAGTGTTTCTCAACCTCTAACAAAACGTCGCCCCCTTCATCGTAATATCGCCCCCTTCACTACAAAATTCCGATGCTGAGGGACAAAGCTAACGCCTAATTTGTACTGCATTGAATAGACTAGTGACTAGTATAATGTTATTTGTTTAATTATTGTACGATATAACAAATAAAATATCTAATTATTCTTAATACAATGTTTTACTATATCGCTCAGAAAATTGTTTTTCGCCCCGCAAAATATAAATTGTTACTAATTGCCCGTCAACATGGAAAAACGCACACATCGGGGCGATATCGCCCCCGTTGAGAAACACTGGTTTAAACAATCAAAATACATACAAAACTAAATGATTGTTTAAATTTAGGCAAAAATTATTACTTTAAAATTTTCAATTTTACAACAAAATGCATTTATTTTTAAACTAAAACCCAGGGCTGTGGAGTTGCGTAAAAATCTATCGACTCCGACTCCGGCTAAAACATCAAAACTCCACGACTCCGACTCCACAGCCCTGCGAAAACCTTTTAAACAATTACAAAAATAAAAGAGTTTGAACAGTACCTTTGTCTTTATTCTTAGATTTTCTACCTACTGTATTTTTGAAACAATCAAATTCCGGACGAATGAGAGAACTGGGAACACGGTATTTTTTAAAATCATCTTGATGGCAGCAATTTGAATTATAGCTTTGAATGCCACACCCAGAAATATCTTTCTTATTTCGCACCTGTTTAAAAAAATATATATACATACATACAAGAAAATTTAAACAGTTTGGTATTGAAAAATACTGATTAATGCTCTCATTTTACTTTCCCAGCTGTTATGTATATATAACAAGGAAAGTATTGAAATCATGTCAAATTTGACACTGAGAATTTTGTAAATCTCCATGTTTTGAGACCCCTGAATTTAAAAATGTCAAAAAATTATGCATCTACACACGCGCATTTGTTTCATTTAATATCTTGGAATGCAGTAAAGATTAAGAAACATAATTTGGCACAGTTGCTTGTGTATAAGGGGCATTGATGCTATTAAATTTTGATGAGGAAAGGTCAATGGGGAATTAGAGGGTAGTCACGTGGCATATCTCACGAGGTTGGGCTTAATAAAGACTTTACTTCTTTTCATAGAACTCATCTCTACCGTCAAAATTAAATTCTTTGCTATTTTATAGTACAATAGAGCATCGATTATCCGACTCAATTGAAGACTGGGGTTGGTCGAATAATTGAAAAGTCGGATAACCGAAAAGTATGAGAAAATCCATTATTAGTGTAGTATATTATTATATCCCATGTAATTAGTATATCGCTATTAACCTACTTTGCATTGAATTTTCCTACATATTAAACCTATCAATTTTTTTTTTAAAGAATAATTGTCGCTATTGCATTGTTAAAAATTAAAAAATTAAGCCTCGTTTAAATACTGGCTCCCTTTCATGGTCGAACCAGTGTTGCCAGCTAAAACACGTAAAAATACTATTAAAGTAGCCAAGACATATACAAATATTGTAGCGCCACATCACTAGCAGACATTTGAATTTGCCGACTAGAACGCGGTCGGTTAACCGAGGTGACGGTTAATTGGGGGGTCGGATAATCAATGCTCTACTGTATATATTGTTCTTATAATAGATGGTGCCACATGTAATATTATTTATTTATTCTGATTAATAATTAAAAAGTGATTTTTAAAATAAAATCTCATAACAGCCAGGAAAATTACACAACTCATTTTCTTATACTAGATGAAAAAAAACAAAGAAACATTAAACTAAAATATCAATAAAATTCTAATATAAATTCAAATTTAGCTTCGTCAGTGTTGAATAAAAAAATAAACATCCTTATTTTTAGTTTTTGTTAAATATAAAAAAAATAGTAAAACGTTAAAATATTATCATCTTTTGTATAATTAACATTTCCATTACAGTTTATTAAACGTTTTAATGGACATTTATTATACACCTAGTAATTGAAGTGCTGTTTAACAAAGCACTTAAAACTTTAATACGAAGCAATCTTCAATAACAAAATATTTCATAACTTTTTTCTTTCAATTAAGTTATTTAAAGGTTAGAAAGAAATTTGTAGACTCAAAACACATTATTTCATTTATTTTAAATATTCAGAATATTTTATGAATACTCACAAAGAAATAAAGAATATCCAGCAGTAACATCACATAGGCTTATTCAGTTGAAGGTAAGGTTACCTTCAACTGAATATGCCTACGTTGTTCCAACCACTGCTGGAAGCTAAATGTAATTGCATTTACGTAGCCTTAAACCCTCTTAAGATCAAAATTAAGAAGGTTTAAAGCTACGTAAATGCATTTACATTTAGCTTCCAGCTAAATGTAATATATATATATATATATATGTGTGTAATATATAAATAAAAATTAAAAACAAATACTATATTTTTAACCACTTTGAATAGCCATCAACAGGCAAAGTAAATAAAAAGAAAGCTTTAAAGTTAGAACTAAAAGAATTGATTGACTAAATGAAAAGATGCAAATTATGATTAAAATATTTCAGGATTATCGCTTTTAGCCAGGGTTTAAATATATCAATTAGTTAATAAGCTAACTGATTTGCCTTTAAGCAAATCAGTTGACTTATTAACTAATTAATATATGACAAAAGTAAATTTTTAAATGAGACAATTAACGTACACATAAATATGTAATTACATTCTACTGTTGAAAGGTAAATGCCTCTTACTGGCTACAAAAGACAGTAATTTTACAGGACAAAGCATCAGTTATGTAAACTATTTATGATTCTATCTTCAATAAATGCACTGAAATATTTAATATATATTAAAAAACCTAAAAGGGAGTATTAATTAGCACATTTGTATAGAGATTTTCATACAAATAANAAAAAAGTTATGCATTCCATCACGTACATAAACAGTGTCGTAATTCGCAAAGTGCAAATCAGCAAATTCGTAAAATTTTTGTTTATTTTGAACAATCCGGATAATCGAAAATCCAAATAATGGAGGTTCTACTGTATATATATAATATATAATATATAAATAAAAATTAAAAACAAATACTATATTTTCAACCACTTTGAATAGCCATCAACAGGCAAACTATATAAGGAGAAAGCTTTAAAGTTAGAACTAAAAGAATTCATTGACTAAATGAAAAGATGCAAATTATGACAAAAATATTTCAGGATTATCACTTTTAGCCAGGGTTTTCATATATCAATTAGTTAATAGGCTAACTGATTTATCTTTTAGCAAATCAGTTGACTTATTAACTAATTAATATATGACAAAAGTAAATTTTTAAATGAGACAATTAACGTACACATAAATATGTAATTACATTCTACTGTTCAAAGGTAAATGCCTCTCACTGGCTACAAGAGACAGTAATTCTACAGGACAAAGCATCAGTTATGTAAACTATTTATGATTCTATCTTCAATAAATGCACTGAAATATTTAATATATATTAAAAAACCTAAAAGGGAGTATTAATTAGCACATTTGTATAGAGATTTTCATACAAATAATTTTTATATATTGTGCTTTTCTTATTTATTTATTACTCACAACAAATGACAATTCTCGCTTAATTCATTACGTTAAACTTGACTTTAAATTTTAAATGTATATGTACATTATTTTAGTTCTTTGCACATGATCTGGCTCCAGATTATAACTTTGAATGTTGTTTAAATTTGATGTGACCACCGAATAAACTGGTCTAAATGTTTATTTTACTAGTCGATATTAACGAGTTTGTTTCTTTGCAAGTTTTTTAAAACCCGATAAGTCAATTTTATAAATAAAAATAAACTTTTCAAGACAAAAGTTTTATTTAAATGATCAAGTAAACTATTTTTACTCACCAAGCTATATTTTTCATGTTCAATTCTGTTGTTGTCATCTACTCTGATTATTTTATCATCTTCATTTGCAACACTAAATGAATTGCATATATTGTCGACTATTCCCATTTCACGAACGTCATCTTCTACTTCAACAAAATTATATCGTTCATCTTCTATACTTAACTTATGTTGTTCTTCTTCTACCGTGACAAAATTATATTCATCGTCCTCTACTAAGTCCAAATTACGCTGTTCAACCTCCACTGTTACAAAATTATGCCGTACATCTTCAGTTTTAAAAGTACCGCAATACACGATCTCTGGTTTATCGTCGCGTGTTTTGCATTCAATTCCATTGCCAGAAGTGATGTAATTATCACAGTCTGGTTCTTTTTTAATCACAATTTCGGATCCTTTCCTACCTATAAGAAAAAATATTATTATTACACAAAAATATTTTAAATTACAAGGAATATGGCAGTACACAGTCAGCCCAACAGCAGCATGGCGTTGAGACAGGAATAAGAAATTCCAAATATTTATGCTAACTTTTAAAAGTATTATAAAAATTGGTCAATAAATCTACATTAGATTGTTTATTATTTTTTAAATCTGCACTAAGAAAATCAAATATTTGCCTGTTGTGCCTGTATAATGAAGTCAAACCTCGATACTTCTCTACATTTGAAACTGGCAATAAATTAAAAAAATCTCAAAACAATAAAACTTATTTGAAGTAAACTTGTCACATACATTACGCTAATTTACTGGTATTTTTATTTACAGTAGAAACTGTTATCTGAAATTGATGGGACAGAGGTCTTTCAGATAATCCAGAAGCTTGTTTTTATGGGTATTTTTTTTTTTTAATTAAAACAGTTAACGGCTTTATTCATTCAGCTGGAGCCAACGAATGTTGAAATCTTCAGAAACATTTTTATGGGGAATCCATATTATGATCTTTCTTCTTCTTTCTTTTTTAAATCATAATATCCCCTAATGGGGATCAGTCTTTCCCCACACCTCTTTCGCATAACGGGGCTTAGATACAATATTCTTTACTGTGACTTATACTTTAAATACGATTATACATAACATAATAATAAAAAAAAAATAAAAAAAAATAAATAATCATAAAATAAAATAAAAGAAAAAAAGAAACCCACTGAGCAACTTGCTCAGGAAAAATAATTACAATTTAACCCGAGTTACTTTTCTCTGTATGATCTTCTTAAAAAAGGTAACGAGCTGCCTATACGTTTTTTTGTTTCTGATTAATTGGTACACACTACACTGCCAGCGTAACCCTTCTTCCAATACAATCATTTCGAGATAATGTCTTTCAAATGTCCATTCCAAGCAATCATAAATAAGATGGTCCAAAGTCTCCATCTCCTCTCCACATACACATTCATTTTGTTCATCCAAATGAAACCTGCTCTTATATTCTCAGAGACCATCGTGTCCCGAAAGACAAATCATAAGTTCACGCTCTCTCCCAAACCACTTAAGATGGGAGAGTCTTTCATCAATATTTGGGAGTAAGTCGAAGGTTTTCCTCCCTTTTATACTATTTGTCCAAATCTGTTGCTATTTTTCTATCATTTTACTTTTTAATGCCTCCTTTCCCCAGGACTGTGGAATTGTGTTAAACACTTTTTCATTACCAGTGGCAGCTTCTTTGGCCAGAAAATCGGCCCGTTCATTCCCATATATACCGACATGTGCTCTGACCCATTTAAAATAAAACTTCTCTATTAGACCATGTTCTCTGAGTTTTGTCTGAATACTAAAGACCTGCTGATGTTTACATTTACGGTTAGTAAGGGCCTGAAGAGCACTGCGACTATCTGTATTAATACAGACACCTTCTTTCCGTTCATGTTTTATACACCATTCAACAGCTTTGTCTATGGCCAATAACTCGGCTTGAAAATTGGAGCAATATGCTTCCAATGTAACTTTGTCACTATGAATTTCTTCATTATGCTCATAAACTACGAAAGCAGCCCCAGTGCCTGAATCAGACCTAGATGGGTATATTCAAACTCTCATCATCAATTCAGTGAGATGCTGCCAGAAGTGACACAACTACTGGCATTTTCTAGAGAACACAAACACCGACTGCCAGGAATTTCAGAACAGAAAAATGATAAACGATGTGCACTTCCACATTAATTTAAATTTATTTTTGAACTTATTTAACGAGGACAACTTAATAAAAAATGAACATTTTGATAAGAGAAATTCGATTCAAATATACGAGCGCTAAGATGGCTTTTGTTTTCCGCTAGACTTATCATATCATCAATGAAACAAAGGACAAACTTTAGAAAGACTTATTTATTTATTTGTCCTCCATTTCATTCATGGTGTAATAAGTCTAGTGAAAAAGCCATCTTAGCGCTCATATATTTGAACATAAGACTAGACAAGAAGCGTATCGCATAATTCAACGAATAGCACAAAAATGCCTACATTCCATCAAGGAAGGGAGAACAACAGAGAAGAAGACAACTGGCAAGAAACCAACAGGGATGATACTTCCAACACATCGAGACTAAAAAGCTTATGAGAAGAAAATTACCGTTTAAATGTCCACATTTTATACATAAGAATGTACCTCAGATAAAGTATACTGCTACCAGCCTTAAAAATTAAAAATAGTACAGTTAGAGATATGCAAAAGCATGATGTTGTAATCGTAAAAAAATAATTTAAAGTCTGTTATACGTTGTAAAAATTACAGGATTAAATAACTAACAAAATTAATCAAAAAATTAACAAATACCCACCATACTAACTACAAAGGAACCCCCACTCATAATAATCATACTTATTACTATAAAAAATACCAAAAACTTGTTAAAAAATTAAATTACCCTACCATCCAAGAAATAGAAAACTGGCTAAATAACATAATTGTCAACCTATTTAACATCCAAATACCGCCCACATGTGTAAACTACTAAGTAGAGATTTAAACTTTAATGGCCCAACCACGGTTGATAAAAACAAATGGGACGTTAGCTCAGAAAACATCATCAGCTTTTCACAAACAACCGAAGAACAAAAAATCAAATTAAGAGAAGAACTTCAACACAAATTATTTAAATATAAAATCAACAAAAAGAGGAAAAATAAAATTATTAGGTATAAGCGTATTATAGATAACCTAAAAAATTTTTTAAAATATAACAACTTATTAATTGTCAAAGCAGATAAAACAAAACAAATAATAATACCATCTTGATCCTTATTCGGGACGAGATGAATCCATCTATTGGCAATTACTCAATCAAAATAAGTATACAGAACTTAGTAATAACCCTACTGACTCACTCAACAAAAAATTAAAAATTACCCTTGAAAAACAATCTTATTGATGAAAAGCAATTTGTCTTAAGAAGTGATAACAGAATACCGAAGTTTTCCTATAGAGTCAAAACTTATAAAAACCCTATTACTTATAGACCTTTAGTAGACACAAAAGGCTATAGAAGTAACTAACCCCCATATAACACAGCACTTCTATAGCACGGATTCACTCTAACACGGTTCGAGAATTGGGTAAAACCCTCGTACAACATGAAATGTAATAAATTTTTACATACTTAAGTAATAATAATTCACGAAAATTATTATTTTTCTGAACTATCGGTACTTAAGTATGGTAAATTTTCTTTTCTCGCCGTCTGTCGATACACATGGTCCTTCTCGAAACTTGTTTCAATGTTGCCAGATCTCGACGCTTCTGATTCCGTTGTTGCCAGATGTTTTTCCTTTATTCCACACTTGATTTATTCTTCATAAGTGCTTAGCACCATTTAAGGAAATTTATAAAGAACTTTTAACTAGCAGCAAGCAATCTAAAATTACACACTTTTTGCAAAAGGTAAACATTGGATCTAAAGATATTGCAGAAAAATGCTCAGAAGATAAGGATAACTTGCCAAAAAGAAAACGCTCTCGGTTAATAGTGCTTTTAGTGATGACAAAGAGAACATTGTTTAATTTATATTAATATGTATCACTTAAGAAAATTTTAATAAAGATATTTAT